CAGAACGACTGCACAAACATAGGACATGGGAGGATTGACTGGTCGACGTGGCGGAAGGGCAGGGCAGGGCAGAGAGGAGGCTTTCGCTAGATGTCAGCCCAAAGTGAGTCAAACAGGTGTGATTTTTATGGCATGTTAATTCCCTGATTATATAGTTTTCAGTCTGTTCCGTTTTTTTACTTGTGTGATCAGAGTGGTGATTCCCAATTCCTTGCATGTGGAACCGGAAATTCCGAAGCCCAGCCCCGGGTGCGTGTAAAAAGTGTTCTAAAATTATAGGTTCCTGGGTATCACCCCAGAGCCACTACAGCTCAGGATGAACCTAGAAATCTGCATATCTTCCAAAGTTGCAAAGGTGGTTCTGATGCTTGGTCAGAATTGAGCACTGCTCCTCTCGAATATGGAGTAAACTTTGAGGACTTTACAGCAGACAAACAGTTGGAATATAGAAAGCATCATGGGAGGGGACAGGGAAAGAGAGGAGGGAACGGTCCTCAGGAAGAAACATTTTCAAAGAATGAGTGACTTGAGTTCATCTTGACAAGAGGCAGATCCTCGGGTAAGAAGAGCAGACACTCCAGGAAGAAGGAAGGAAGGGCATCTGCCAGGATGAGGAGGATGAAGTCCTTGGGCATTCAGGGGAACAGAGCAGCCTCCCCATCTTCTCAACCCAATTAATTGGTACAGTTTTTGAGGACAGAAAGCACCATTTGTATTTCTAGAGGACTGACTACAAAAGATATGCAATCAAACCCTTATTGATTTGCCAGGTTTGTTTGCTTTTTGTTTAAGTTTTAGAAATGTACTTTAAAGAAAAAATTTATCCCTTTGCCCAAAGATTGGGAGAGAAATGGTAGATAACCACAGCATTGCTAACCCAGGGGGTTATTTCTCTCCAATCCTCCTCCCTCGGCAGGCTTACCCCCAACACTACCTAACATACAGATGGTCTCTGGATGTTATAATAATCCTTACTGATGTCACTCACTGGAGAGTGGAGACCACCCATGACACCAGGAAGCCTTTCCATACCCATGGCTCTATGAGGCCGCTGACACTGCAGATCACGGGGCTTATGAAGGGGATGGAAAACCCAACACAAGGGAATGGGAACTGACAAAATTTACTCCAAAGCAATGGTGACTACAATGTTCTCCTGCCATAAAATCAAGCCCAATCCATTCCCACCAGTTACCTAGGGAGTGGCGGTGAGATGGACACTCAATCACTCTGCACTTTTTTAATTTATTTTTTAATTGAAGGATAATTGCTTTACAGAATCTTGATGTTTCTTCAATTCTGCACACATAGGTCCTTGCGTCTTAGTGCTGAATCCCAGACCCCCAATGGCAAGCTCTTCTGTGTAATCACTCCGGATAACTGGACCATGAGTGCCTTGTCGATTTTTAAATGCCCAAGTTCCCTGCAAGGCAGCGTTTAATCATGAAGCACTCCAAAATATATGATAGAGGGGAGGGGTGGGAGGAGGTGGGAGGGGAATGGAAAGGGAGTTTTCCTTCTTTCAACACTAAACCAAAGGGATTTGGAGCACAGATGGCATCTGAAGTCATTCTGGACAAGCCGCGAGACAAGGACCATGGTCAAGGTAACCAGCTTCCCTCTCTTATTGTTTGGAACATGTATTTCATAGCTGTTTTGCTCCTGATTCTTTTAAGAGATGTGCCAGTCACATCCATTTGTTGTCCTTACTAGTCTGTGTTAATCCTGAGGTTTTGCCATTAACCTATGTTGATGGAAGAATCACTGAAACTTGATAGAAATTAATTATTGAAAAGCATAGATTTTCAGTCTATATACTTCCGTAGTGGTCTGAGCCTGTGTCTGAAGCCACACACTGTCCCATTTTTAGAGAGTGAGAAGTCGCCTCGGCTTGGGGCTTGTCAGTACATGCAAAGATAGAACATGTCTTGTGGCCGCTATTTCTTCTCCATGATCCCCTGAAGGAAGCCATTGCCAAATTAGGTGCTGCTTCTAAATCAACAGAAAGGCATTTTTAGGGGGAAGAATAAAATATGTAGTGAAGGGTATGGCAGTCTGGGTGTTGAAGACAATTCTTGAAGATTCTTGAACGGATTCTCATTCATTTATCAAGATAATCATTGAATGAGGTTCCTTGAGTCTGTCCTTGGTAGACACTCCTGGGAACAGCATCTTTGGACTTCATTCCAAGCTCTTTTTCTTCTCTTCTCAAAACTTTTTATTTTATATTCGAGTATAACTGATTAACAATGCTGTGATAGCTTCAGGTGCATGGCAGAGCGAACCAGCCATCATATAGGTGTATGCATTCTCCCCCAAACTCCTCTCCCGTGAAGGCTGCCACATAACATGAAGCAGAGTTTCTTGTGCTATACAGTTGGTCCTTGTTGGTTCTTCATTTTAAATATAGCAGAGTGTACATGTCCATCCCAAACTCCCTAACTCTCCCTTCCCCCTACCCTTCCCCCTGGGAACCGTAAGTTCATTCTCCCAAGCTCTTTTTCATTCTTTGCTTCTCAACTTCTTAAGTTGGTTGTCTGTCACATTAGCACTGCTACAAAGTGGTGAGGGATTCATGATTCTTATTTCGGAATAACCTGATGAATAATTTATGAATAGGTATGATTTAAAATGAATTGAGGGTAAAATTAAAATCTGATGTGATGGGATAGTGGCTAAATCTCCAAGTCATACGGGATTGAAAATAAAGTTGTCGAAAATGTAGAATTGCCTGAATCCTTAGTTCCATCTTTATACAGAATAATGGACGAAGATGTTGTACCTTGAAGTCTATTTCCTATTCAAACAATGGATATAAAAATAGAAAGGGTAACTAACTAAGAGTAGCAGAACAATGACAAAAACTATAGGATTCTCAAAACTAAAAAACAAGATGAAAACATTCTTTTGGGGGAAGAAAAGGGGCTCATAATGACTTCCATATCTGGCAATATAAGATCACCCCCCCTTCCAGATATCATGGCTTTTGAGTCCTCACCAAGGTCACCCAGAGTCTTGAACCAACAATTCTTGCTGGAGTTAATTTGTTGAGTGCTTTAAAAAAAAAAAATCTTATTAGCAAATTGCTTTACAGAAGCTGTTTTATCATACATTTTGCTTATTGGCTTCTATCTACATATGAATCTTGTATATTTCTTATTGCCATAAAAAACTGCACTTTGTCTGTGGTATATACTGTTTTAGTCCCTAAAAATTATAAAGAACAAACTGTTATGATTCTAAGATAAAGTTGCCTGTTTAATGTAGAAAATGTTCAGCTGGAGATGATGAGAGAGGCAGATTTATGGGCCTGTCTCATTTAGCTATGGTTTTATTTACATCTCTTAAGCTAAGCAGATTTGGGTCTGATTAATTCTGATGTAAGTGATTCCCCTTAGAAAGCTCAAGATGGTTTACTTTAAGAAGTGTCTGTCAGCAACTAAGTATGGGCTTCTTTTCCGCTCAGTATATATTAATATAACAGTACAAACTGCTTCATAATGCAAAGTGTGAGACCTGTCAGATCTCTTAATTTTTCTATTAATAAATCAAATTCAATCTGGCTCCATGCCACCACTCCCCAGCACTGAAACATCTAATGTTGGACATCTTTTAGGTTAAAAATGACAAGGTTGAGGGCTCCAGCCAAAGCCACGGGGGCTGCATTCATTCTGCAGCCCCCCACCGAGTCACCCGCAGGCACTGCAACTGCATTGGGCTGGGGGGGCTGCACCTGCAGGTTCCTTGTCCACAGGACACCCTCCCTGTGGCTCCAAGGCCAGAGCACTCAAAGTCCAGCCTCCGTGGGTACCACGCAGCCACCTTGCATTTGAGATTCTCTCAGTTCAGGCATAGTGGATGGAAGCTGAACTCAGATCACCACCTCTCTCAAAACACACCACTCTATTTCCTCTCCAAGGGTTGCAGCATCCCAGTTGGTCCTCCGCCCTCCTACCCTCAAGAGTCCTGTGCCTCTATCTGCTCCCCTAGGGAGCATCCTCTAACATTTATTAATAGGATAAATGGGCTTTCCTGGTGGCTCAGATGGTAAAGAATCTTCCTGCAATGTGGGAGACCCAGGTTCGATCCTTGGGTCAGGAAGATCCCATGGAGAAGGAAATGGCTACCCATCCCACTATTCCTGCCTGGAGAATCCCATGGATATATGCCCCTTACTCCTCTCAGAGGAATCTAACACAGGGAAAAGTGAAAGTGTTCGTCACTCACCCACGTCTGATACTTTGCGACCCCATGGACTGTAGCCTGCCAGGCTCCTCTCTCCATGGAATTCTCTAGGTATGAATACTGGACTGGGTTGCCATTCCCTTCTCCAGGAGATCTTCCTGACCCAGGGGTTGAACCTGGGTCTCCTGCATTGCAGGTGGATTCTTTACCATCTGAGCTACCAGGGAGGAAGACATCAAAACCTTATATAGGATAGTCATAAATTAAAACCCATTTATAACTAAAAGGAGTGTAAATGTTTTCTGTTAGATTGGAAGAATGGGGAATTTAACATGTGAGCCATTATTATATGTCAGATAAGTGCCCAACATTTTGTTTGTATTATTTAAGTAAATCCTCATGACAACAACAATAACAAATACCTCCCCACTACCTTTCCCTGAAGACAAAACCAAAGATTACCAGCAGGAACATCTGGTGAACACCCAATCCTTTTTCTCAACCAGATACACACTAGCTCAGTGGCTTAATCACATTACTATCTGATGCTTGTTCAGATTATCCCCAATAAGCGTTTTAATATAATAAGGTCCAGCTGAAATAAACATCATGGCTTCAGCGCCTGCTCCAGGCCGCTCCTGCTCCAGCCGAGCTTGCCCAAGGCTACTTGGAGAAAACTCCTGAGGGCTGGTCGCACCCATTGTGTTGGAGGAAAGCGGCTCCCGGGAGTTTAGGGGGCCTCAGGGGAGGGTGCTGATCTCCGATCTCAGATGAGGCTCTAACATCAGACTCCTCACCTGTGTGTCTTATTACAGATGGGGCTCCCGAAGAGCTTCTCTAGCCAACGGACATGCCTATCTGCCATCCTCAGCATGCTATCACTCAGCCTCTCCACAGCATCCCTGCTCAGCAACTACTGGTTTGTGGGCACACAGAAGGTGCCCAAGCCCCTGTGCGGGAAAGGTCTACCAGCCAAGTGCTTTGACGTGCCGGTGCCCCTGGATGGGGGCAGCAGCAACGCATCTTCCCAGGAGGTGGTGCACTACAGCTGGGAGACCGGGGATGACCGGTTCACCTTCCATGCCTTCCGGAGCGGCATGTGGCTATCCTGTGCGGAGATCATGGAAGAACCAGGTAGCTGCCTCGCCCCCAGATTTCTTGTCCCCCGCCCCTGCAGGGGGAAGTGTGTAGCCCTCGCTCACACCGGCCGGGCTCACCCCTAGCCTCAGCATCTCCCCCCTCTCCATTGTGTCCCTTCCACATCAGACTCCTTTGTCATAAGGTCCAAAGTCCATCCATCTGGCATTTCACCTCCAGACTCTCGCTGGTTTCAAACAGCATCCCCCTTCAACAGTCTCATGCAGACTTGGAAGGTTATGAGACTTCCCATTCCTGCCAGCCAGAATTGCCGTTTAGAGACAAAACAAGGAGACGATCGTAGAGAAAGCCTGGGCTCTGTCCAGGAACAACTTCACTCCTACAGGCTTTGATTTTCTCCTCTGTGAGATGCAGGCATCAGAGTAGATGGCCCTTAAAGCATCCCAGAAGTGTGTTCTCATTCTAAGTGTTATTGTTACCACTGAAAAGGCAGGGCAAGTGAAGCCCAGGGAGGACAAATACATCCTGGAAGTTCTCCCCAGAGAAGACGCAGCCAGACCCTCTCAGGTCTCAGGTCGTGGGGCGTACACTCGCAAAGCAGGCGCTATGCCAGCATGTTAGATAGGGGCTTGTCCTCAGGCGAATAGCAGAGGACGCTCCCTCCTCCCTGCTCAAAGCTTGCAAAGATCCCCCTGTAGTGAAGTTTTCCTAAAGCCCAGAACTGTGTACAATTTGCAGTCTAGTGCTTTTCCCAGTTTGGGCTAAGGTGAAAAGGAGATGGGAAAGGATTATAAACTCTGGGGTATTTCCATTTATTTTTACATTTTTAATTAATTTAATTGGAAGATAATTACTTTACAATATTGTGATGGTTTTTGCCATACATCAATATGAATCAGTCATAGACATACATGTGTCCCCCCATCCTGAAGCCCCCACCTTCCTCCTCACCCCATCCCTCCAGGTTGTCACAGAGCACTGGCTTTGGGTCCTCTGCATCATATATCAAACTCCCACTAGCTATCGATTTTACATGTGGTAATGTATACGTTTCCACATACATGTAAAGTACAGACTTTTGGACTCAGTGGGAGAAGGAGGAGGTGGGATGATTTGAGAGAATTCCATTTATATTTATTATTGTGCCATTTAGCCCTGCTGTGACTCCAGTCCAGGAAACAATTTAGAGCCACTCAAGCCAGCAGCAGGAGCAGAAGGAGCTGGTGAAGCAACGCTGGAGACACCCCCTGGGTGACTCGGGGAGTGTCCTCTTCATAATCAGGAATTGAGGCAGAAATTAATCTTGGATGACTCTGGCCTATTTTGCTCATCCATCCTTGCATCCTTCCCTGCTTCTAAAGAGACATTTATGGCCTGCCTTCCATGTGCTGGGCAGGCCCCCGGGATGGAATTAGGAAAAGCCTGTGTCCCTCGACCAGGGCAGCAGCTCACCACCTTGTACCTTGTCTATTTCAGGGGAGAGGTGCCGACGTTTCCTTGAACTCACACCACCAACCGAGAGAGGTGAGAAAGGACTACTGGAATTTGCCACGTTGCAAGGCCCACGTCACCCCACTCTCCGATTTGGAGGGAAGCGGTTGATGGAGAAGGCTTCCCTCTCCCACCTTCCCTTGGGGCTTGTGGCAAGTATGTGGGTTTGATGATAAATTTAGTTGCCATTGAGTTGGGCCTCTGGGGATCTAAACTGTACTGTGATCTCCTGCTTTTCTTTTCTTCTGAGCCCCACAGGGTGACACTAACTCCCACTAGGCTGATTCAAACTCCCACCTGGCTGACACTCATTCCTAGGCAGGAAGGCAAAAAAGCAACAGCAGGGACAAATAAAGTTCCCAAACAGAAATCTACCAACAGCTCTAACCTACTCCTGTTGCCAAGTAACCATGTAGAAAGCTTGAATTTTTCCTTTTTTTCCTTTTTTTTTTTTTTTTTTTTGCATTTCAGTAACTTTATTGAAAGGTATATATCCCTTAGTACCAAAACATAATGAAAGTTGGTTAGGTTACCTCTGCCAATGCAAAATTAACACTGATGTAATAAATATTTTTGTAACATAAAAAGAAAGGAGTCAGGGTGGGAGGGGAGGAAGAAGAGAAACAAAATAGATGGTTCCAGAATTGAATTTTTTTAAGAAGAGAAACAGAAATAAGTAGCAAAATTTACATCCCTAAAAGATTTGGTGGAAATTGGATGATTTCTTCTCCAGTCTCCCTAAGAGTATTTACAGTGAGTCAAGCGTGGTTGGTTGTGTATGGGGTACTGAGGAGAGAGAGAGCTGATAGCCTCGAGCCCCCTGGTCAGGACTGTTCCAGCTGCTTCAATTCTGTCTTCTCCTCTGGTGCTATGAGGCTCTCCACTTCTCGTGGGAAGCATTTGTTCACCGCTGGTTCAGTTACTTAATTGTCAGGGTGACGGTTCTTCTTCCTCTGGTTTCTGACAGAGATCCTATGGTTATCACTGGGAGCCCAGTTTGCCTACATTGGACTTGAACTCATCAGTTTCCTCCTGCTACTGACGGACTTGCTATTCACAGGGAACCCTGGCTGTGGCCTCAAGCTGAGTGCCTTTGCCGCCATCTCCTCTGTCTTGTCGGGTAAGCAGCATCCCAGGAGCTACAGAGGGGGTGGGTGTCCCCTGTTGCCTTTGAAGCCTAGCCGGCAGCTGGAATCTCTGTCCTAAGGGAAGGAAGGAGCCCCGAAGAAAGCTAAAGAATGGAGCCAGGAGATACAGCACAGGCGTCTTTAATTTTAAACTGAAACAGCATGCAAAATGCTAGATTAAGTCACTACGTATTTTGCAAAATGATTTCTCTCTGGGTTTCTTCTACTTGCAAGTTTTCTCATTATGTACAATACGGTTTGGTTTATTACTTCTGAGTCGTGACATGCACACAGCTTTGCCAGACTCTGTTGGATCAAGTAAGAGATGCCTGTAGATCAGTGGTCCCCAAGCTTTTTTGCACCAGGGGCCAGTTTTTTATGGAAGACAATTTTTCCACAGACTGGGGGCAGAGGATGGTTTGGGGATGATTCAAGCACATTACATTTATTGTGCACTTTATTTCTTTTATTATTATATCAGATCCAGCTCAGATCATCAAGCATTAGACCCCCAGAGGTTGGAGCCCCTAGTGTAGATGATGAAGGAAAGGGTTCACGTTGGGGATGCAGATGGGAAAGACCTAAAGGGAGTAGCAGCCCAGGGTGCATCATTGACTAGAAATGTTCCCATAGCTCAAAACCTAACATCTGGAGAACCAACAGCAAATATGCCTTCAAGGAGGAGCCCCCAGTGCAGGGTAGCCCTGATGCCAGATAGGGAATACGATTTGCTCCCAATTCGTATTCCCTGTAGACAGATAGCAGTGCCAGTCTTTCTCTAAGGGTGCTGACTCCCTGTTTCTTTTGCAGGCCTTCTGGGGATGGTGGGCCATATGATGTACTCACAAGTTTTCCAGGCAACGGCCAACTTGGGTCCAGAAGACTGGAGGCCACACGCTTGGAACTACGGCTGGGCTTTCTAGTAAGCGCTTATCACTTCCACCGCCTTTCTCCTCTTCCCCGGTCCACCTCCATTAAGTGGCAGCCCTCAACTAGGCGCTTGCTCTCTGTCCTCCTTCCTTCTCTCCATCCCTCATCCCAGACACCTGTCAATCATCCAGAGGGCTGGGCCGGCAGGCCATACCCATTCTCTCCCCACCTTCCAAGGAGAGGTACAGAGTGGATTCCTCTGGCTTATTTTTCGTGAGGGCGTTGTCAAGTTTTTCTGCTGATAAAGCTGTTAATACGTGCTTCTACACTTGACATGTAGGACGTCCTAGGGAAATGAGACTGATTTCACATGGTTTATGGAAATGAGGCTCTACATTTTATATGTTCTGTTGCCCAGAAAGTTCATTCAGATTTTTCCATAAGAGCTTACAGAGAACCCTGAACAAACTTTTCAGCCAACCCAATATTTTGATTCAAAATACCGGGAGACAGAGAAATGAAATAACCTTGAAATCTGGATTCCACTTCTGTGAATGGCTGCCCACTCTCCTATAATGAATAAGTTCATCCTGCCTCCATTCTTATTCCACCAAACTGGGTTAGAAATGAAACAGTCTCTCTCTAACCCTTAAAGAACTAAGGGCTCAGTTAGTTTAGACTTCTCTTATTATAAAGAAGGAAGCAGAAACCATAATGAAACGCAAGCATTCAAGGGTAACATCCCCTTTATGTGGGTTTCTGATCTTCTCCCTTGAGGGACACTCTCCATTCACTACACAGATGCCGACTTAGATCATGAATCATCTGGGCTGAGTTCTAAGCACTTACCAGTGCTGGAAAGACAGCGCCAGGCTTGAGTTTCTGTGCCGAAGAGGCACATGGAAAGCCTACACCTGTCTGTCACGGGATCCCGTCCCCTTTCCTCATGGTATAATATGGGCTATTGGATTCGGGGGTCTCTGATCTTTCCATTAGCCACCCTATCACAGTTTAGCTCATTTTCCGGACTCACCATTTCTCAGCTTTTGTCCATTTTTCAAGCCACTCTTGGCATTTCAACTGCAGGGCTGACTTCAAAACTCCCACCCAAGTATCTCCCACCCGAGTCTAGTCTGCTACAGGCTAAAGGGGAACACACAGCAGCACCGCGTGGCCTTTCAGTCACGGCCTCATGAAATCCACCCTCCAGCAACGCCCCCCCAACTCCTGGTGTCCTGGGCTTCCCACAACTGTGAGACACTCAGGGCCTTGACTTTCCCGGTTCTTAGGAGTGTGTTTGATATGGTTCCCTGGCGTCTTTTTCTCTTTGTTGAATCCATCCAGCTTCTTTTCCATCCTTTACAAATTTCCTTTGAGTCAAGAACCACACTGTTTGCATTGTAGGCCTTGTTTCCACTAGAGAAGTCTATACTAAGGCCTCTGGATGTGTACTCAGGGTTTCCTGAATGCCTCCCAGATGCTCAACTCTGGGCACCCTACGACAGCTAGGCTGAAAACCAAGGAAGACGGAAGAGGTGTCTGAGTGCAGGAAAATCTTTGGCAGGAAATATGTGTTTCAGGCTTCCCTGCTGGCTCAGATGGTAGAGTCGGCCTGCAATGCAGGAGCCCCGGGTTCAATCCCTGGGTCAGGAAGATTCCCCTAGAGAAGGGAATGGTTACCCATTCCAGTAGACTGGCGGACTATAGTCCATGGGGTTGGACACGACTGAGTGACTCACACACACACACACACACACATACACAAAATAGGCCACCAGGTATAAAAGAACACAGCACTTACAACAAAATCAGTGCAGTGAAAATGAATGTTCAACTCCTGACTTTAAACACCATATAAATCATGGCTTTTTACTATAAAACATCCAAAACTTACCCTAGGACAGACCAAATTCAGACCTCTTGCCCACCAGTCTTTATCTACAACATGTGAAAGGTGACACCCTCATCTTCCTAAACCCCTAAGAGGCATCCCCTAGTTGACTAGTAGGAAGGGACCTTGATATTTTTCTTTCAAATCCGTAAGAAAATGTCTGACTTTCCCATTTTCCGTGTGTGTGTCCCTAGCACGGCCTGGGTCTCCTTTACCTGTTGCATGGCATCGGCGGTCACCACCTTCAACACCTACACCCGGCTCGTGCTGGAATTCAAGTGCAGGCACAGTAAGAGGTTCCGAGGAGCCCCAGGCTGCCAACCGCATCACCACCAGTGCTTCCTGCAGCAGCTGGCGTGCACAGCCCAGCCGGGGGGCCCCATGACCAGCTACCCCCAGTTCCACGGTCAGCCCATCCGCTCCATCTCTGAAGGGGTAGACTTCTACTCAGAACTACATGACAAGGAACTTCAACAAGGCACCAGCCAGGAGCCTGAGGCCAAGGCGGCTGGCTTATCTGTAGAAGAGTGTTAGGAGTTAGGGGGTTTGGAGAGCAGGCTGAAGCCCCACCTTACACGTTGCTCTGTGATCAACACGTGTTCAAGCCACAGTCTGTTTCCTGAGTGTGACTTCCAGAGGTTGAGAACAAGGGTATTGAAAGTCTAAATCCAAGGGGTGCACGCCCAGGTGCCCAGCGCTCTGGCTCCCTTTTCCATCACAGCTTAGTCTCACCACCCCCACTCCACCACTCCCCGCCACCCCACATCTCACTCATTCAGAATTTCCTTCTTGATTCAATTGTTCATTATGTGCCAGGTTCTGGGAGATAAGAGGAGTAAAATAGAGATCCTTCCCTTTAGGGGGCAATCAGGCTGGTCAGGAGAACAGAGACGGGGGGCTGATAGGGGCTCAGCTCAGCTGTGGTGCACTTGACTTTAAAGCCACACACTGGGAGGCAGTACTAGGAACGATGCCATGTAGAGCGGGTGTCCTCCGCGCTGCCTGCCACCGCGTCCGGCATCCATGTGATAGGGGCCACATCACACTATGTTAATTACTATGTTAATTACACGTTATCCTTGGAGAGACCAGGAGACCAGGACACATGAGAAGGCTCCCACGGCCTGCAGGGACAGGCCACCCCCAAAACAGCCCACCTGAAGCCCCCTGGTGGTCAAATGCTTAGGATGCCAGGCTTTCAGTGCCGTGGCCTGGGTTCAGTCTCTGGTCAGGGAACTGAGATATCCGACAAGCAGTGGGTGCAGCAAAACAAACAAAACACCAGCCCACCGAGGCCATGTGAACAGGACAGCAGTTCCCCAGTGGAGAACCCAAGGGATGCTTCCCCAGAGACCAGGCTGCAGCTGACACTCCTCTCTGAGCCTCTGGCTCACATCCACCGCCTCTCCCCTTCTCTCTCCCATCAGGGAGAACACACCATCCTTGACGGCTGGAAAGAATGTGAGCAGCACACACATATGCTCCTATACACAGTGTTTATTTGTTCTGTGACAATTCACATTTTAAATAGTGCTTCCTGACAACGTACCAGCTGGCTCTCCTTAAACACGGGTACTAAGGATGGCCATTCACATTCGAAGGGGCGGGGGAGGTTGGGGAGAAACCACCAGACCACAGGAGGAAAAGCAGGAGAGACCCTCTGGGAGGGGGACGGTGGGGAGGATGTCATCTAGGATGGAGGGTTCATAAGGGACGGAAAAAGGAGATGCTGGGAGAAGGAACAGCCTTGTGTTCTCAGAAGTCAGTACCCTTTCTAAGCAGTGATGGGCTCCGCTGGCACCCCAAGAGGAGCGCAGGGGAGGAGAGGAGCCCTTCCTGTCTTAGACGTCTGGTCAGGGGGTTGCCTGAGAAGAGAAGGAGGTTCAGGGACATGTTTGACAACAGCCCAGCGCCCACACCGGTCAGATGAAGCTTCCTCGACCTTCATCCACCACGTACCCCCCACTGTACTGGCTACAAGAGCAAGAGGAAACCTGTGTCCTGCTGTTTTAGCCAGAGAGATTCAAACTGATCAAGGTCAAAGCAGTCTCTGTTAAGTTGGTTTGCAAACACACCACAAAGAATTTAGGGACTTTTTTTTTCCCCTGACTGCTGCTGATGTATTTCTGGGACACTCCCAGCATAAATACAGTCTCCTGCCCTCAGCAGTCCCTCTCAAACCAGATCCTCAGTAAACACCTCTGCATTTGACTCTTGCCCAAAGTGGGTGGCTTCCCAGGAAGCCTCCATGTGGCAGGGCGGCAGGTGGCCCAGCCCCGGGCCACAGGATGGCCACTCAAGCTTTAGGTATTCCAGTTGACTGTGAATTAGTCCTTAGAATTCTCTACTAGACCAAACTCGATCCTATACCCTTCTAGCCAGGCAGATTCAAACCCTAGAAGTGAATCTGGAATCAATCCCCTGCTTCTGAGTGTCTTCTAATTGTTCCCCTAAGTTTACAATAACCGAGACCCACACATGCCTTTCAAAGAGCTAGAATCAAATTTGCTCTCAAGGACTTAAGGCAGAGGGGATGGGAGGGCAGACACCTGGTTAAGACCAGTCTACAGGCTAAGCAACATGCTTCTTAGAGCTCTGGCTACCAACCTTCTATTAGGTCACAATGCCTTTCAGTGGCAATTCAGACATATCCCTTTAAAACTGGCATCCCAATTTTCTGTAATCTCTAAAGTCGAGGAACCTATTAACACAAGATAAAAAGACACAGGTTTAAGTCGAGAGAGAACCTGAGTGTACTCAGGGATGACTTATCAAAATTATTCCAGAACAAAAGTGGTTCTCCTCCGGCTCATGTGGGATTCCCTGCTGTATGAACAATGGTCTAGACGTTTAAAAAGAGAACCTGATAAAGTAACGTATTCATACAGAAGAAGGAGGAAGTCAGCACTAAAGATAACTCTAAAGAATTTCACCACTTATAAAAGCTACAGTATTTACAGAGACATTTTCTCAAAATACTCTGCTTCAAGGGCTCTACAAGGAAGAGGAGGGTACACGGCAGAATGGCTGCATGCTCGGCTCAAGGAGCCAGAATCAGAGTCCAGAAACAGCTTGGCTCTCGTGCAAGCAAAGCAGAAATATCCCTGAATAAAAGAGCAGAAGGGAAGACGCCCATGAGGAGATGCTGAGAAAGCAGAGTGGAGATGAAGGGGGCTGAGGCTGCCTGCCTCAGTCGTTCCTGACTTGAGTTTTCCTCTAAGCTGAGGATGGCATACACATAAGCACATACGAAGTAAACATGATAAAAATGACCATGACTGGCAGAACGATATCAACTGAGACATAACCTCTGGACCTTGTTGGTGGGTCGTGGAGGGAGGGAGGGGTATTTAAACCACTTTTGCTCCCCTTCTGATAGAACGGGAGAAAATTATTGCAAACAAAGAAACTGACAAAGGATTAATCTCCAAAATCTGTAAGCAGCTCACACAGCTCAACAGCTCAAAAAACAACCCAATCAAAAAATGGGCAGAAGACCCAAACAGACATTTCTCCAAAGAAGATATGTTGTTGTTGTTCAGTTGCTAAGTCGTGTCTGACTTCGCAATCCCATGGATTACAGCACACCAGTCTTCTCTGTACTCCACTATCTCCTTGCTCAAATTCATGTCCATTGAGTGAGTGATGCTATCTAACCATCTCATCCTTTGCCGCCCTCTTCTCCTTTTGCCTTCAGTCTTTCCCAGGAAGAAGACATATAGATGGCCAATAAACACATGAAAAGATGCTCAACATCACTCATTATTAGAGAAATGCAAATCAAAACTACAATGAGGTATCACCCCACACCAATCAGGGTTAATTGTTATGGTCACTACACCTAGAAAGAAGGAATATGTGAGGAGACAAGAGACAGGAGCCGTAAGACGAGGAAGAAATGAGAATTCTGGCTGGCTCGTGCTATCCCCATGTCAGTCTTGCTGCTGCCAAGGTCAGGGGGCAGGCGAGGTACCAGCAGGGGGAGAAAAGAGGAGAGATGCCGAGGGGCCCTCCAAGTCAGAGGTCGGCCACCTGTCTCAAGAGGACCCAAACCAACAAGATGTGTTTCAGACAGTTGAGAACCTGGGTCCCTGGGAGCTTAGGATGTGCGTATCTAGAAAAGACTTCATCACCACACGAACAGACAGATACACGCTCAGGGCATTAGGCACAGCAAAACATTCCAGGGAAGGACTTCACTGGAATTTCCCAGCCAGGGTTCATAAATTAGACAGACAAAAAATAAAACAGTAAGATTCACAGTTCCAAACTCTCCACACAGAGTACCTAGGAGAAGGGTTAATTCAGGGGTTGGGCGGACAGGTAAGATACCCCAGCCGAATGGGTGGTGCTGTTATCGAAGAATTCCAAGTGCCTGGCGACGGTCACACAGAGGAGGTGGACCTCCTCTCCAAAGAACTATGTGTACCCCCGCCGGGGAGGGACAGGGCCACTCCATTCACTTCTTCTGGAACCGAAGAATCCAGCAGCCTAGATCTAGGGAGAAAAGGGCACCAATCAGTGACTTTAATTTTTTCCATGGTAGAGACATGGAAGGACTCTCAAGGTCAGAATATCCCTCTATTTCCCTATCCTTTTGTTTAGCCTCCAAAGTTTACAAGTGTCCCTCCAGAAAGGTCCAGAAACTTTATCTTTTTCCACTATACATTCTTGAACATTGGACTAGGCTGTTGTATTGAAGGAGGGCACGGGGTGCATTTTGAGCAAGATAACCAGTCAGTCCTACAGGAAATCAACCCTGAATATTCATGGGAAGGACTGATGCTGAAGCTGAAGCTCCAGTACTTTGGCCACCTGATGCGAAGAGCTGACTCACTGGAAAAAACCCTGATGCTGAGAAAGACTTTAGGGCAGGAGGAGAAGAGGCCGGCAGAGGATGAGATGGTTGGATGGCATCGTTGACTCAAAGGACATGAGTTTGAGCAAACTCCGGGAGATGGTGAAGGCCAGGGAAGCCTGGCATGCTGCAGTTCATGCAGTCAAAGAATCAGACATGACTCAGCAATTCAACAACAACCATCAGAGTTCTTCACAGTAGCTAACTGCCACAAGCCCTGCACGAAGCTGGCACCACCAGCCTTACCCAGAAAAGACCCAGAGTAACAGTAAAAGCCATGACCCCCCACTACCAAATGTCTCCTCTGAGACAGAGGGTACCATTTCCAGCTCAGAACAACCAAGCAGTAGTACAAGGTCATCACTCACCCCTGTGAAATCATGCTGGTCCAAAACAGCTGTTTCCTGATACCTAGCAACTCAAGAAGGTGTCCACCCGCACCCTTGACCTTCTAAAGAGCAGACTTGGAGTTGGTTGTGTTTGCCCTTCACCCTCAAGAGTAACCACACACTTTCTTTCCCAAGCTAGTCACCTGGTAGGGAGAGTCGACGAACTTTATCCTCGAGAGGAATCTGCGCAGCTCCCCACGGCCGATTTTGGGGGTAGTCTCCTCCAGCTGGACCATTTGGCCTTCCATCAGCGCCCACCGCAGACTGAGCTTGCTGACCACCAGGGGGGCCGGGTGCCCTTCGGAGCTGAGCCCTGTTGTCCTGGTAACGTAAAAGGCATCTTTCCACAGGTCGTTGATCCCAACTGAGGAAGGATATAAAGGAGAGCAGTCAGTGAGGACAGAAGACTTGGGCTCACAGGAGAGAGGTTGGGCTCAAGACTCATTCACTCATTTCCTCCTTTGCTGATTCATACAAGATGTTTACTGAGCACTAATCAACACAAGGTACCGACTAGACAATGGGTGCACATTGGTGAGCAGCTGGTGGCCAGCAAAGCAGCAAATTCTCTGTCTCTATACCTGTGCTTCTCCAAAGCGGCTACCTTTTTTTCTTAATAATTTATTTATTTTGGCTGCGTTGGATCTCATGGGATCTTTCATTGCAGCACACAGACTCTCTAGTTGTGGCCCATGGACTCTCTAGTTGCAGCGCACAGACTTCAGTAGCTGTGGCACACAGGCCTAGTTGCTCCATGGCATGTGGAATCTTAGTTCCCTGACCGGGGTCGAACCCATGTCCCTTGCATTTCAAGGTGGATTCTTTACACTGAGCTACCAGCTAAGTCCCAAAGCTATCTCTGAGAAAGCCCAAGATCAGGAAGTGAGGGGACTGGCCAACTGTGGTAGAAAAGGGAGCACAGCAAACTAGAAATTCTGGTAACTCCTAGATTGTCAGTACCTCGTGGCCTAAGCTATGTACCAAACTAGTGTTTATTCTGCCTCATCTATAAACCAGGTGTTGCAATAAAAATGGTCTTGATTCTTAATTACCATTATGTAATGTTCACTGGAACAATGATTGGTTCAAAATTGGGAAAGGAGTACAACAAGGCTGTATACTGTCACCCTGCTTATTTAACTTATATGCAGAGTACATCATGCAAAATGCCAGGCTGAATGAATCACAACCTGTAATCAAGACTGCTGGGAGGAATATCAATAACCTGAGATGTGCAGATGACACCCTAATGGCAAAAAGCAAAGAGGAGCTAAAGAGCCTCTTGATGAGGTTGAAAGAGGAGAGTGAAAAATTTGGCTTGAAACTCAACATTAAAAAAACTAAAATCATGGCATCTGGTCCCATCACTTCATGGCAAAAAGAAGGGGGAAAAATGGAAGCAGTGACAGATTTTATTTTCCTGGGCTCCAAAATTACTGTGGACAGTGACCACAGCCATGAAATTAAAAGATCCTCACTCCTTGGAAGGAAAGCTATGACAAACCTAGAGAGTGTATTAAAAGGCAGAGATATCACTTTACTGACAAAGGTCAGCACTGTCAAAGCTATGGTTTTTCCAGTAGTCATGTATGGATGTGAGAGCTGGACCACAAAGAAGGCTAGAACACCAAAGAACTGATGCTTTTGAATTGTGGTATTGGAGAAGACTCTTGAGAGTCCCCTTGGACTGCAAGGAGATCAACCCAGTCAATCCTAAAGGAGATCAGTCCTCAATATTCATTGGAAGTACTGATGCTGAAGCTCTAATACTTTGACCACCTGATGCAAAGAGCTGACTCACTGGAAAAGACCCTGATGCTGGGAACGACTGAGGGTAGAAGAGGGCAGCAGAGGATGAAATGGTTGCATTCCATCACTGACTCAGTGGGCATGAATTGGAGCAAACTCTGGGAGTTGACGATGGACAGGGAGGCCTGGTGTGCTGCAGTCCATGGGGTCGCAAAGAGTTGGACACAACCTGGCAACTGAACAACATGAAATAGAACACTTGCAAATGTTAACGGTGGTCATGAGTGGTCAGATGGCAGGTGATTTTTCTTCTTCCCTTTTCCTCTTGGCGCCAGTTTCCATGCGCTGGGCACGTGCAGTAAGAAAGTCTCTACTGAGCCTAACCCACTCCAGTATTCTTGCCTGGGAAATCTCATAGACAGAGGAGCCTGGAGGGCTACAGTCCATGAGGTCGCAAAGAATCAGACATGACTGAGCATGCACTGAGCCTAAACAGATGCCCTGAGGAATATCCTGCCTCTGTTTTATTCTTTGCAGTGAGTTCTGGCTCCGAAGCTCCTACAGGCTTGAGAACCACTCTGATTTATATTCCCAGCACTGGGCGCAGTGCCTGGCCCATGGTTGATGACTGGTAAACGGCTGCCGAAACATTAGCTCCCTGAACCCTTGGGGATGGGACAGCACTGCCCCGTAGCCTCTAGCATTCTAGCATGTTCAGGGACTGTGGGTCCTCACCCTGTAAGCCAGGTCCCCAGAGGGCACTCTTGGGCAGTGGCCCCAGGGGCCATGGTACCAAGGGAAACGCAGAGAGTTGCTCAATGCAGGGAGCCGCTTGGGACCCACAGCACACAACCTCATCCCCCTCACCTGGCCAGCACGTCCCCTCCCCTCCTCTGCATCACCCCCTGGGACTTACCCTCTGAAGCTGTCACAGTGCCAGTGGCATTGGCCAGATCCAGGAGGATGGAGGGGAAGGTGGGATGCAGGAGGTATAGGTGGTGAAGGCTGGGTGGCTCGCTTCCCAGGACACCCTGACAACGAGAAACAGGGAGAGCAAAGGTCAGTCCACACTCCCTCGTACAACCTTGCTCAGATGAAAGGACGGCAGAGACAGTGGGGGTTACTCATCCCCTACGAGGCCAAGCCCCAATCCCACACCAGGGCGTGTGTGAAACTCCCACGTACGAGAGACATGTCATTTCAAATCTCAAAACAGTGACTAAACACTAACTTCGTCAAACCACCAGAGCTGGAAAATGCTTTCTCCCTTATAGGAAAAAGAAAGGAAGAAAGGAAATAGGCATGGCCCAGGAGAGAAAACGATGGCACCCTCGCAGTCTGGTGCCTCTGAGAGTATCACGAACGGTTCTTCCCTGGCAGCAGGAGGGGCTTTGTCAAGGGAAAGCCTGCTTATGAAAACACGGTGAACCAAAGACCCCTGCTTTCACTGGACAGCAAAGCCAACTGCAAGTGTCAAGCTAAAAAAAAAAAAAAATCACAAAAATCTTATCTATTCCTAAAATAACTGAGACATGGATCAGACACTCATTAATTACAGAAACAAAAATCCCAAGAGCTCAGTGTCCGTCTCCTGATCCCCTAAGGCAGAAGCAATGCACATCGGAACTTTCTTCACCATCTGACTCCACGCAAGGTTGGTATTCTGCAGACACAAGGCCACAGGGCACAGGAACCCCATGAATGGGTCACCCAGTACCTCCCCCCCGGGACCATGTGGAGTGACTGCCAGCCCAGCTCCTTCACTGTCAGCAGGGGAGCGGTCACTTGGGCGGGAAGCTCACAACCCCACGCCCACCAGTACCCACAAAGCAGAAGAGGGCTTTCCCATATCCAGGATCCCAGCACCATGGGCAGGTCAGATGACAAGAAAATAGCTTATTCACATCACAAACACCTAAGTTACCAGGGGAGAAGGCTAGGGGGAAGGGACAGTTAGGGAGTTTGGGACTGACATGGACACACTGCTATATTTAAAATGGATAACCATGAGTGGCTGAGTCCCTTTGCGGTCCACCTGAAACTATCACAACATTGGTAACTGGCTAGACTCCAATATAAAAAGTTATTAAAAAAAAAAAAAGGATAACCAAACAAGGGTGTACAGTATAGCACAGGGAACTCTGTTCAACATTCTGTAACAACCTAAATGGGAAAAGAATTTGAAAAAGAATAGATACAAGTATACGTATAACTGAATCTCTCTGTTGTACACCTGATACTAACACATTATTAATCACCTATGTGAAAGTGAAAGTGTTAGCTGCTCAGTCGTATCCGACTCTCCGCAACCCCGTGGACTGTAGTCTGCCAGACTCCTCTGTCCATGAGATTCTCCAGGCAAGGATACTGGAGCGGGTTGCTGTGCCCTTCTCCAGAGGATCTTCTCGACCCAGGGATTGAACCCGGGTCTCTCGCATCTCCTGCATTGGCAGGCGGGTTCTTTACCACGAGCACCACTCCAATATAAAATTAAAAGTTTAAAAAAAAAAAAAGAAAGGACATAGCCAAAGTCCTTCCTCACTGCCTACAGAATGGAGCCCAAACTCCTTTGCGTGAAAACCAAGGTCTTACACCATTTAACTCAAATCAGCCTTTCCCAGCCTCCTACGATCATTTGCCTGCACATCCATGATCCAAGGTCTGTGAAACAAACTCACACTTCACTAGGCTTTACCTGTCCTTGGCCAATCTCATTTCCCCTTGGACGTCCGCCTCAAGAGCCATTTCCACATTAAAGCACTTCTTGTCATGAGGTCTCCAACTCGATGCCACCTCTTTCGTGGAAAGCTCCCTAATCACCGACCCTCTCCACAAAACGAAGACCCTCCTCCTTTTCTGCTTCCCTCTAGACTTTGTATCTGCCCCTCCTTAGGGCATTTGTAACCTGCTTTTGTTTTGTGCTTACTTGTAGACGCTTACATTTGAGAGTCATCTGGTCTGAGTCCCTCATTTTATTAAATGAGGAAACCAGGAAGTTAAATGTTAGGTAGAAAGTCCACATGTCAGGGAACTTCAGAGTTAGGACAATCATCACTGGAAATCTGATCCTAAAGCGAGGGACTATATTAGCATCTGCATTAACAGCTAAAGAGCCTGAGACTCAGCAAAGGTAAGTCCTAGAGTGCATGGCTGATGAACTCAGGACTGTCCCTCTGTCAGGTTCCCCATCACCCAGGATCATTTGCTTGTCCTCCAGAGGGCAGCACTGTCCCCAGTTTACCCCGAGGTCCCTGGCACACAGTAGGTGCTGGTCAACTTGGGTTTAACTGAACTAAATCAGAGTGAGTCTTACTCAAAACCCCCTGGCACCTGGCAGAGGCAGCCCCCCATCTCCTCAACCCCATTCAAGCCTCTCAGGATAGTACTGAAGATGTTTTCAGGGCTTCCCTGGTGGCTCAGGAGTGAAGACTCTGCCTGCCAATGCAGGAGATGTGGGTTCGATCCCTGGTCTGGGAAGACCCCACGTGCCAGATACCGTAACTACTGAACCCATGCACCACATCTTCTGAATGTGCGCTCTCGAGCCCGGGAACCCAGAGTCCACGTGCTGCAACTACTGAAGCCCGCTCACCCCCGAGCTCAGGCCCTGCAACAAGAGAAGCCACTGCAACTAGAGAGCAGCGTGCACTCGCTGCAACTGGAGAAAAGCCCGCACAGCAACGAAGACCCAACACAGCCAAAACTTAAGTAACTAATTAAATCAGAAAGAAATCTGTTCTCAAATCTGCCTTCTGCATATCAGAACATCTCTCCTGTGATCCCCCAGGGGAACCTTCATCTTCAGCCGATGGACAGAGAGACAGAGATGACTTAATGACTAGGAACACCAACTTGGTTTCCTCCCAACGTTGAGATGTTTCTGCTGCACGGTGAAGCGAATCAGCCTTATGTACACACACACGCCTGCCCTTCTGGGTTTCCCACCCATCCAGGTCACTGTCTCTACCCAGAACCGCTCGGAAGACAGCAGGTCTAATAAGACCTCCAGACCCAGTCAGCCTCAAGAGCAGGTGCCATCTGACATTAGGCTCACTCACGGGACTGGGTGATGCAGCTGACAGCCCTTCAGCCCAGAAGAGGAAGACAGATTTCTGCTCCACAGTGGCTGCTGACGTGGCCGGAGTTTCTTTCATGTGACACGGGATGCTGTAACTCCACGTGACCAGGCCAGAGTCTCCATCCACCACCATCACCTGTAGAAGAGAAAGTGATGAGTACAGCCCGTCCTCAGAGAGAAGCAGAACACACAAACACAAAACCAGACAAAAACCCACAGACACGCAAACAACACATACATTAACAGGTGGAGCTTAGGTCAGATGCAAACAACGGGGTGTTCAAGGAGCGTTACGTAACAACTAGGTCCAGGAGTCTGGACAAGGACATGAACTTGGACAAACTCTGGAAGACAGAGAGGGACGGGGGGCCTGGTGTGCTGCAGTCCATGGGGTCACAAAGATTCGGACATGACTTAGCAACCGAACAACACAACCGGGAGTCTAGACAGAGCCTAAAGGACTGCAGAATTCCCGGTGGGAAGGGACATTATAAATCATGGAGGCTTCCTCTCATCGTCAGATGAGGAAATGGAGGCTCAGAGACATGAAGTGACACAGATTACTCTGGACTTGGGGCGGTCCTGGGCGGAGCAGCCATTCTGCTGTGGGGGAGCTAAAACCCAAGCCTCGTCTCTGTCCCTTCCCGCTGGTGACCATGGCCAACCACAGTTAGGGGAACATGATCAGGACAGCTCAGTCCTATCCCCTGTGCTAAAGCTTTTGAGTCTGACTCTGCCATGTCCGTCCTGGGAGGTGCAGCTCAGACCACGGAGAGCCTCAAATTTAAAAGAGCAAACTCCGAACAGGCAAAAAAAATAAATTAAGAGAAAATTCACTCAGTTGTTATCTCAGTTGTAGAATTAAGGGGAATTCAAAATCCCTGGCTGCATGTATATTTCCTCATCACCCCAAATCCCTCATAGTGCACAGTTCTAGAACAAAATAGCTTCTCATTTGCCAAAATCCCAGGGGCTTCCCTGATGGCTGAGCGGGCAAAGAATCTGCCTGCAATGCAGGAGCCACAGGAGACTTGGCTTCGATCCCTGGGTCGGGAAGATCCCCTACAGGAGAACATGGCAACCCACTCCAGTATTCTTAACTGGGAAATCCTATGGATAGAGAAGCCTGGCAGGCTACAGTCCACGGGGTCGCAGAGAGTCAGACACGAATTAGCGACCAAACAACAACAACACGGGTGACCTTGGAATACACTCCACTGTCCATCTCAGCGCTTCTGGAGCTCCTGAGTGGATCTGCCCCTCTTCTAGACGTGCAACTCAACTGCCAGGACCTGATCACCTTTCCCTCCTTCATGAAGTCCTCCATGACAACCCATCGCCCCAGCTGGCCCAGCTTCTCTGAAATCTCAGTATATAAACTGAAGTGGTACATTTAGTGATACCTGCCTTTCCCCAGCAAGAGACTTCAGAAAGTACCTGGACACTGAGAATCTACAAGGAACTGCTACACAAGGAGTTGGGCAGCAAGAAAAGCTTCTGCTGCTGTAGGTGTTAGCACTGTGACTGTTCATTTTACCCATCCGGCTACACTTGGAGTTCTTGGAAGGAAGGGACCGTGCTGTAAGGTTCTTCCTATTTTTCATGATGCCAAGCGCAGGCCTGGACACCAAGTTCATCCTGGATATGTGTTCTGACTGATCTTCATCCCCAGGCTTTACCTTTTTCATCCCAACTCCGTTCGGTATCTGCAGAAGGAAGTCTATCGTCTCATCATCCGTGAAATACCCTGGAGTAGGCTGGCTGCAAGTGAGAGCAACATGAGTGATGGGAAGTGAAGAACCAAAAGGGGAGAATGGGACCCCCCCACTCCCCTTGCACCGGCTCCAGATAGTCACATTAAGCAATGGTTCTGGGCAGTTTTGAGTGAATAGGAGCACATCACTAACCTGCGCAGGCCTTGGACGCCCAAAGCCCAGGAAGGGGTGAGGTTCTGCCCCCGAAGCAGGACAAGGCCTTGTCTGGTTGTGATCAGGAGGTTGCTGCTGTTGGAATCCGGCGCCTTCACCATCTGAAGGAGCTCCACCCCATTGCTGAGTTAAACAAGAAACCCCAACAGTTAGTCTCAGGCTGCGGTGAGATTCCTGCCCACATATTCTGGCTAATCCTCTAGGTGCACATGTCTGTACAGGCCCTTGTGTTCGTCTCCTACCAGAGTCTTGTCAAGAGGGGTGCTCTTGGGACTTCCCTGGTGGTCCAGTGGTTAATACTCCATGTTTAAAATGCAGGGGACACGTGTTTGCTTCCTGGTAGGGGAAGTAAGATCCCACACGCTACATGGTGTGGCTAGGAAAAAAATTTTTTTAAAAGAGGGGCACTCGTGCTGTTTCATTTGAATCTCTTTTTCCTGGTTTCTTTAGAAATCAAGGAGTCCTAGAAAATTCACGCAATTTCAGAAGGAACAGACAGGAGAAGTGCCTCTCACACTGAATGTTCTGAAAAGATAACAGAGCCAAGAACAATGATAGGGAAGGAGTCAGAGATCGGGACAGGATGCCCGGAACTGTCATTAAGCCTGGAGAGCAGCTCACACCTTCATCGTTGTTGTTGTTCAGTCACTAAGTCATGTCCGACTCTGCAACCCCATGGACTGCAGCGTGCCAGGCTTCCCTGTCCCTCAGCATCTCCCGGAGTTTGCTCAAACTCACATCCATTGAGTCAGTGACACTATTTAACCATTTCATTCTCTGTCGCCCCCTTCTCCTCCTGCCCTCAATCTCTCGCAGCATCACGGTCTTTTCTAACGAGTTGGCTCGTCCCATCAGGGGGCCAAAGTATTGGAGTTTCAGCACCAGCTCACACTTGACACTTCAAATTATTGGGTTGGTCAAAAAGTTCATCTGGGTTTTTCCTGTAAGATCTTAAGGGAAAACGCGAATGAACTGTTTGGCCAGCCCAATATTTCTTACTCTGTACAACTGGGACCATTCTATTTAACATCTGTCAAATGCACTGACACAATATGATACTGTCTAAGAAAATGCTGGGTTTCCCCAGTGGCTCAGCAGTGAAAAATCCACCTGCAATGCAGGAGACATGGTCTCAATCCCTGGGTGGAGAAGATTCCCTGGAGAAGAAAACAGCAACTCACTCCAGTATTCTTGCCTGGGAAATCCCATGGACAGAGGAGCCTGGTGGGCTATAGTCCATGAGGTTGCAAAGAGTTGGACAGGACTGAGTCAGACACAACTTAGCACTAAACAACAACAAAGAAAATGCTAGAAAGTGATATGAAGCTTCTGGTTGAAAAATAACAAAGATAATTATTACCCAGGCCTAGGGTTAAATGGATAACATCCACTGCATATGACAAATAACATGCTTTTAGTTAAGAAAAAAATGAAGGAAAAAAAAACAAAAAAAGATTTCATGGATGTTATTTTTGCCTCTGCCACAAAGATTCTTTAAGAGAAAAACACAGGAATAGAGCAGGGCTGATCCTTCAGCAGAGTTTTACAAGCAGTTCTGTTAAATAAATCCATCTTCCTACCTGAGGTTCCCTGGTCTCAACTGCCCCGCTCTGATTCCCACTCCAAACAAATACCCTTCTCTGCCAGCTATGTGCAAAGTGATCATCAACACACAGACATCAACACATTATGTCGCCAGGAGATGAGTACTTCTAACTCCCTGCAACCAGATCGGGAGGTGGTCCATGAAGGCCAGGCACCATTTTCCCCTCAAACCTCAGCCCACGTGTTTGCCAGCCCACCAGACACTGATACTCCAGGCATGCATGGGCTCGGGTCTCACCATGGCAGGACCAGACGGCTGCCCACCTGTAAACATCAATGAGCTCAGACAGGTTGACGGATCTCCGCTTCTCCCACTCAGGTTCCTCTATCTGCAGGGAAGGTGGTAAGCTGTCTCGATTTTGGGCTTGAACGAAAATATCCCGCAGGGCGACAGCCTGGATATTACCTAACAGCACAGAAGAACCGACATGGAAAAGCTGAACTCAAAAGAACTTTCCCAGGGGAAGGATAGGAGTGGGAGACCCAGAGCCTGGGCGGAGGGATGTATTCACACAGGGGGCCAGTACGGAGGTGGCTAAGCAGACGCTAAGCAGTCTTCTCGTTGGAGAAAGCAGCCAGGGACAGCAGCGTGAATACCCTGTGGCAGGGGGTCCCCGGCAGAGGAGGTGACAGAGGCCTGGTGTCAGCGACTCCAGGCTTTCTCCCCACCACCCAGGGAGACCTCACCACACACCCATGGGGACAGCAGCAAAAACAAGCCTTGCTTCTTACCAAAGCCGAACAGGATGTAGGCGGCCCCGCTGATGGTGATGTAAACCTGAGGGCCAATCAGGTTGCCCACTCCCATGATGTTGTACTTCACAGGTCGGCCCACGGGGCTCCCTGTCCGGCCAGACACCAGCAGAAAACACAGATCTGGCTGATAAAAGTGAAAGACCAGGGTTGAGCCCATAGAAACCCTGTTGTTACCGAATCGAGTCATTTCTCCATAGGCATTCCTTCTTGTTAGCTAAGGGGGTCAGAAACACCTTCCAAAGTTAAAAAGCCCAAGGCCACACCTGCTTTGCTGTATTTCCCGGGAAGTGAGAAAGTGAAGCAAATGCCCCATTCCCTTGTTAGATACAAGCCAAGGGCACCTGCACGGTGACTTGGGCGATTTCTCCGAAGCACAACTGTTGCTGAGGAGCAGTCTCCTGAAGCACAGAACTCTAGCCTAGAGCTAAATCCAGGACCCACCAGTCACTACCCACCCCTATACCCATAAATCCCCGGCAATATTTGGTCCCACGAGAATCAGTGCAGGCCATGTGCTCCCTTTATAACACACATGTCTGGCCTGGCCACTATTGACCTCACTCTCAAACAGAGATCAGCAAACCTTCTCTGGGAAGGGTAAGACAGTTAATATTTTGTTTCACCAGCCAGGTAGTTTCTGCAGCAACTATCCTACTCCACCACTCTAGTATAAAAGCAGCCACAGACAATATGTGAATGAATAGGTGTAACAATAAAACTTTATTTACAAAAACAAATAGTGGGCCAAATTTGGCCTGCATGCCACGGTTTGCCAACCCCTGTATGACAGGGTTTTCTTTTGGGAATAGAGGCACTGGTTGAGAAATACAAGGGCTACACTGCTGTCTTGATTTCAGTAAAGCTTTTGACAGAGTTTATTGTCAAAAATATTTATGGACAAGATAAAGAGATATGGCTCCCAGTGTACCCCAAGAAGGGGCCACGCCAACCCAGAGGGAGGTTTTAGTGGAATGTCACCTCACCCAGCTATTATCTTATTCCTATTATTCATTCTTTTATCAAAGACATGAATGAACAGAATTCAGGTTTATCGCAAAGCTGAGAGAGATCGCTAGTATGCTGTATGACAAACCGAAAAATTCCAAAAAGTCTTAGGTTGGAAGATGGGCCAAAATCTGGAAGAAAAAATCGGCCCATTAATTAAAAGACATGGATATTTCACAGTAGCAAGACTTACTGTGGTGATCATTTTGAATATATAGAAATATCAAATCAGTATGATGTACATCAGGAACATACTGTTGCAGGTTAATTATATTATACTTCAAAAATAATTCATAGAAAAAGAAATCAGATTCAGTTACTAGAGGCAGGGGGTGGGAGGAGGGGGCATTGAAGGAAGGTGGTTGAAACTGATGAACTCCAGCTATAAGATAAATAAGTGCTAGAGATGTAATGTACAACATAATAAATATAATTAACAGTTATAAGTCATATATGAAAGTTAAGAGAATAAATCCTAAGAGTTTTCATCACAAGGAAAAATTTTTTCTATTTCTTTAATTTTGCATCAGTATGGGGTAACGGATGCTCTTATTGTGGTCATCATTGAGTGATGTATGTAAGTCAAATCATTTTCCTGTAACACCTTAAACAGTGCTATATGTCAGTTATACAGTGCTATTATGTCAGCTACATCTCAATAAAACTAGAAGGAAAAAAACAAAGAAAGAAGTAGTGGGAAAGATATGGGTGTTTTAACTGATTATAAACAAAAACAGGAAGGCTGTCACCATCTTTGGCTGCATTTAGAGATATATGCAGTCAATATCAGAAAAAGTTAACAATTTCCTTATTTGATATAACTGGCTATATTACAAACAGAATACTGTTTTCATTTATGGGTACCACATAAAAGAGATATGGACAAAGTGGAGTGAAAAAAGAAAGAAATCAAGAAAGGGGTCTGTGCCCCCTAACAAGGCAGTAAGGGAGAAAACCTGACGGGCAAGGCGGATCAGGTTTTCAGGGGTTTCGAAAAGGCCAGCTCACGAGATCCCACCCATGACAAGGTCACGAGGAGAAAGCCTGACAGGCAAGGCGGATCAGGTTTTCAGGGATTTCGAAAAGCTGCCCCCAGCTCTCACCTTAAAGATGATATCTGTCTTTCTGATGCCTGCCTCAATGGACTACTCCCTAATTTCTCTGACACAGGCAGGCAGGCCTTCCCCGATCTCTTCCCAAGTAAGAATCAATTTAGAACTTTAATCAGTAAGTTTCCCAGGTGGTGGTATTTTATGAGATTATTCAGGGTGAAAGGAGTGTTTTAATTTAAACTCCTTTGCTGGTAGTTTGTTAGCCAAATGCATTTATGCGCTTGGTACTAATATGCATGATTGCTTACAATATCCTAATCATAAAATAGCATAAAGAACCTGATTATATAAAAGCCCTAATAGATATAGAGCCCTTTTAAGGGATAAAGGAGTCCTATTAGAAAACATAAGAAAAGTTATTCTATAGGTGGTTATTGGGTTGTTATTTGCTTGCTGTATGCTTGCTGTATTTTTGCCTTTAATGTGCTAGGGTTGTGTTATAAAAACCATTGTTAATATAGTTAAAGATCTAGAGAAATAAGAGCTTAGCCCTAGTGTGGTAACAATGAGATGGTTGTTAATTGTCAGTCAGGAGTGCTAGGCAAAAGCTGCCTCACCAAAGTCGCAGAGTCAGTATGGGGTAAACTTCTTAGATAAACGCAACTGACAACTTTTGCAGAAGGATTAATTTTTGTATTAACAAGAATATACTTCTACTCTGTACTATTTCCCTATGGGACTGCTATCTTTCAGTTAAGGTCACCATAGAAACAGAAAATAGGTTTACATTCACCTGACCTGCAAAAATGTTAATAGGCCCCAAGGCCAGAAGATAATGTACAAGACCCTCATAAACAAAGAAGTATGCAGAAAACACCCTGGTTTTGTGAAGGACAAGCTGACGTAATGTTAAACTATCTTCCCCTTAGAAATGTACTAACTTAGGGTATAAAAGCTATGGTAAAAAATAAAGCATTGCCAGACTCTGCCAGACTCTCTGCACCCCCGTCTGGTCATTCTCTCTCTCTCTCTTTCTCTCTCTCCCTCGCAGACTGGGCCCTATCAAGGCTGGGCTCACGTGTCTTCTATCTCTCGCCGACGCCGTTCATCCTGAGGGTACCCCCTGGATCCTGCCAAGGCTGGACCCCGGCAGGTCTGGATCACATTGCATGAGGAACAGTATGAGAAACTAGCTATTTAGGCTTCCATGGTGGCTGAGACGGTAAAGAATCTGCCTGAAATGTAGGAGACCTGAGTTCAATCCCTGGTTCAGGAAGGATACCTAGAGGAGGGAATGGTTATCCACTCCAGTATCCTTGCCTGAAGAATTCCACGGACAGACAACCCTGGCGGGCTACAGTCCAGGGTCACAAAGAGTCAGACACGACTGAGCGACTAACACTTTCTCTTTTTTTTCAGGCTTGACAGTAGCAGGCTTTGGAGGAACCAGGCTTCCAGCAAAAGAGCGTTCATGTAGAAGAGGATTAGATTCATTCAGAGCATTCTACGGGGCTGATGTGGGCGCAATGAATGGAAGCTAGGAGAAAGCAGATTTCTCACCCGTAAGACAGAATTTTCTAGAGTGCACCAAGAATGAAATGAACTATGCCACAAATCAGTGCTACTGCCATCAGCCTGAGGACTCAGAGGTTATGACTGCCCATGTGTCTGGAACAGTGTATCAGTGAGAGATACTGTCCCAACAGCACAGTGTGAGCGTGTTAATGTCATGGCTTCCAAGGTCCATTCTCTCTGACGTGCTAGCCCAGATGCGCTCTCTAACCCCAGCCAGGTCCAGACATCCCAAGGCTGCCTTACTCTAAGCCCAGATCTAAGAATGCCACCCCTCAAAGTCAAAGACCTGACATGCCTCAGTCCCCCTTCCATGTCTACAGCGGACAGCAAGCATGTTCCTCAGGTTCTTTGTCGCTGGTATAGAAGTCAGAAAGGTCAGTATGAAGATGAAGCAATGGCTCTGAACCCACCACTTCTCCAAGACTCTGCTACTCCTACCTATCACTTTCCAGACAGAATGGAGACTGGTCTATACCCATACCCCTACCACCAAAAAAAGAAATGAAGGCACAGAATAGGAGTAGATGAGAAGTCACTCTTCTAAGACAGCCTCCTCACAATGGAGGGTCCCTCAGTCAAGTCCAAGCCATCATGCTGTCCACCACTGCTGGTGAGTAAGAAGCCAGATGGAGGAGTCAAGGCCAAGATTTATAACCTTGTCCGGGACATGTAAATCTGTTCAAATGTTTCGCTGTGCTTCTGCTAACAACCATAATTCCTTAAAAAAAAAAAAAAACTACCCATACTTTCCACTCTCTGACAGATGAACCTTCTGAGACTCACTCCCTGATGAATGGAATTGTTAAAATGTTCCCAACTCCCCAATCTCTTTATTCACAGCAACCAGAATGAAAAAAGATTATGTGCAGAATTCCTGACATTTTGGTTCAAACTTCTCCGAGCCCAACTGGCCAGGTGAAGAAAAACAAACAGAAAGGACCCCTTAAAGTGACTCATCTTTGGAAATTTCCCTCACGATCTGTCTTCTTTTCTCTCATCTCATGAACATAAAGTATCATCTGAGGTACTAGAGCAGGGCTCCTGAAACTTGTGACTGGAAGGGCACTCTGAATTAGTTTATGGTGCTCTTGACAAAAAACCATAAAGTACTGACAAATTTAATTCCATTCTAAATAATTTCACTTGCACATTTTGTACCAATAACTCCGTTCCATGTATGCATTACAAAAATCATGAGGTCTAGCCAAATTAAAATAAGCTACAATGTTCTATAGACACATTTGTCCACAAATATTCTTGGCCAATTGTTCATTTCTTCTGTCCATGAGCCTCTTCGGGAAGATTCAAGCTAGACAGTCCAAGAAAAAGTCTAAGAGAAAGTCTGACACAAGTTCTGAGAAAAGCTTCAGGAACAAAAACTTAAAACTGAGACAATTCTGGCCATTAATATATTCTTTCCTGTGACGTAGGGAACATACTATTATTTTATCTGTGCAGAGAATAACTAGTTGCCCGGCACTGGAATTCCAACAAAGCAAAAATTGAGGAGCAAAATTTAGGGACCACTGTACCAGAATCAGTCTGCAATCACAGCCTAAACAACAACTCTTTTTTTTCTGGTCCCTGTTGTTATTACTTGTTTCACTTGCAATTTTATATATATATATATATATATATATCCTATGGACTTTCTATCAGTCTGTCTCATTGTTTTGTAGTTGCAATAAAAGTTAAACATATTAATATATTTCCATTCCTTTTGTCATGTAGATCTGAATGCAATAAGATGATAAGAGGCCAAACCAACATGCCCTCCACAAACCTTAGTTTCTTCACTGGCACATTTTTAACTGGTTAATGCCCAAGTTCACATTATCAAGCCTTGTATGTCAAATACAAAGAGACAAAGCTCCACTGCAAAATCAACAATACAATACATACTCTTGGTGAAAAATAGGCACTCCAGGCATTTCAAATATGTGAGTTCTAATTTTCATAACAACCCTACAAGCAGAATAACATCCCCACTTTACATGATGTAACCAGAGCTGGGACAGGCTCTGCGGTTTACCAAGAGCAGAGAGGAGTACAGCGGGAATTCGAACACAGACCTATTTGGCTCCCAAGCTCCACCATGCACGTCAATGGAACCATGTGAATGGGTTCATGCTAGCAATTTATTCACCTGATCTCACCAAGAGAAATGATTGAAAGCTAAGCCCTTCTAATGAGGTGGTTTCAAGCAGCGTTTCTAATAATGATCCTAGGAAGTGAGCAAAGTTGCCTTCCCTGTAAGAGACAAGGACCACTGTGCATGGCGCTTACCTGCAACTCCCCAATGGCCAGAACCGCGAGGTCTCTAACACCATCTTCGTCCACGTCCGGTAGCACCACGGCCGGGGCGGCCAGGGTCCCGTTGGATAAGTAGTTTGGGTTTAAAGTCCACATGGCTTTCCCTGGGGAAGGATAAATACGCTGATCACAACGAGCGCTTTCTGCCTCTGCAAAAGGCAGATGCTAGGCTCCCAGGCCAGAAAAGACACTCAATGGGCTAAGTGACAGACAGAAACCCCTACACACTTTTCCCTTTAGTTTGTATCTTGCTGGGGAGAAAGGGAGCAGGGAGTGTGAACTGAAATCTGCAAGTATCTGGCTATCAAGTCCATGTAATAACCCAACACCTGGTTTTTCAGGTAATACGGACATGATGAAGTCTGTTCAAGAAAGAAGAGCTCACTTGTCTGGAATGGAGGAATTGATCTGTTAAAGATGATTCCAACTACTAAGGAACTGTCCAAGGACAGCCAAACAGAAGCCCAACCCACTCCTTCTGGCACATGTTCAGAGGAGCAGAGCAACCATAAAAGATGACTTCAGTTCTGGAGTTAACTCACATGCAAAATTTTTTTTTCACTCAGAAGAACCCCATTCCCAGACTCCAATCTTTACACCTAGGAAGGAGGCTACTTATCCAGCTTTATCTGAGTCCAAGGTTAAGAGCACACTGGAAGTGTAAGACTCTGTAAGGAGCCTTCATAATACTTGATTTTTTTCTCTTTTTTGTCACATATGTCTGAATGCGATAAGATGAGAAGAGGCCAAACCAACACACCTCCATAAACCTTAAGTTTTTTCATTAGCCTATTTTTAACTGGTTAATGACCAAGCTCACATGTGAATCCTTCTATATCAAATACAAAGAGACAAAGCTCCACTGTCTTCTGTACAAAGAACACAGTAGGGAGATTATTTCAAAACCGAAAGCCCTGGGGCACTTTCTGTTTGTATAACTCAGTTTAGCCCTATCCTATCACCAAACAGGTTGAACCATGGATGTGACACTCTACTTAAACCCTTTCTCTTATTTCCCTTAATATCCACCTTCCTGAGCAGGAGATCAGACCTCCCACCATGGAAGAGTGGAACAGTCCCTTCCCTACCAGACTGTTCTAATCTAAGATGAGGGCTCCCAGGAGCAGGGACCTCTTGTGGCCAACGATCTTTACCTGATGTCCCATTGAATGCACTGAGCATCTTGTGCGTCCCCGTCACCAGGCAGACAGTTTTGGCCAGGTTCCCTGGTGTCAGATCCAAACAGGTAATATCTCGGGCCTCCTCAGGGAGGGGACTAGACCACAGCGTGCTGCCGTTCATCCCCGAAAGGCACACGAGGACAGCAGGTGGTCCTGAGACACCTGAAAGCACACACGAGACGACAAAGGCAGGAAGCCAAGAAGATGAGCAGGAGATATGAGCAGGGGACCAGAAAACCTAAAGGACCTGTGTGCTCAGCTCCCTCCCATATTTCTGGGAAAAGGGTCTGCGAACGGGGCTCCTGTCACATCTGTTCAACACATCTCTCATGTAAGGTGAGCTGCCGTGACCGCCTCCAGGCGACCTGGGTGCACCTTCACTCTCACAACATGTGTATTGACACGTCTGTCACCTTACTCCTGCTAAGCAGGGATGTCCTTAAGGCTAAAGCCTGTCACATTCATTTTTGCATCCTCAGTGCTTTGCAAAGCACCTGGCACATAAAGCAGCCAACTGCTTTCTGAATAAAAGGAGCAAAATCAAGAATATGAAAAAGGAGTGGTTGGAAACAAAACAAAAAACCCAGAAGGCAAGGTTATGCTCAAAAATTCAAGACTGATCTAGGGACTTCCCTGGTGCCCCAGTGGTTAAGACTCCGAACTTCCAATGCAGGTGGTGCAGGTTCGATCCCTGGTTGGGGAACTGAGATCCTACATGCTGCATGGTGTGGCCAAAAAACACAAAAATTAAGACTGATGTAGAATATGTGGAGAGAAGGGAGCAAAGTACCTGAATTGTAATCACTGCTAGCAAATGCTGAGAGCAGAAAAAAATCTTTTTTAAAACTAAACCTGAAGATGATACATACCGATGATATCAGGAGGTCCCCTGGTCTAGAGTTCCATGGACTCAGCTGATCTGGTCCCAGCAGGCAAGAATACCTGGGCAAACTTAGTACTGAGGTCCAAGGACGGCTGATAAAGGATAAATGCAGCTCACTTCTTTAACCAACAATCCTCTACGTCACGTAGCAACCCTATCAGAAGCATCATGTTCTCTCTTGCAAGTTTCACATTCACTTTCAGGACGGGCAGACGGCCCAATTCACTTCCCCACTTCTAGCAACAGCTAATAAGGACTGGACATGTAGGTTTTACAGCTTCACTGTTCCTAGTCCTTGAAACTGTTAATTAAATATATACAACCAAGGGGACTTACTGGGGGCGTGGAGTGGTTAAGACTCCAAGCTTCCACTGCAGGGGGCACGGGTTCAATGCCTGGTTAGGGAACGAAGATCCCACATGCCACATAATGTGGTCAAAAAATTGAAAATAAACAAACAAGCTAAAAGCAAGTAAACTGGCTCACTCTTTCAGACCTTGTTGCCAGAAGCAGCAATTTACATGGTAAATCGTGGCAATACATGTTATCTCCCAGACCTCCCAGGGATGCTCTCATTAACAGACTTTGCTGTCCTTCCTTCTTCACGTCCCTATCAACTCCACGTCAACTGTGTGACTCATCTTTTTCTGGGTGGTGATGGGTCATCACTTCTCTACCAGGCCACGACTCCTTGAGGCAGAGACCACTCTCCTTGTTAGCTCAACAGAACCAGTGCAGCTCTATGTAAGGTGCACAGCAGGTCAAATAAGAAACACAGTCCTCCTCACGTCCAGTGGCACAGATCTTTGAACCCACTGGCTGGGGTTACGGGCACAGCAGTCTGACATAAAGGTCAAGGTCATGAACTCCCCAGAATCTCCAGGCTGTACGATTTGGATCCCAGTTCTACCACTGCCAGCTGTGGGGCTTCAGGCAAGTTCCTTCACCTCACTATGCCTCAGTTTTTCCCATCTGCAAATAGGGGTAATAACATTAGTCTGTCTTACAGAACACTGAGGGATAAATCCATTCATGACATGTATATATACAACAGTGCATAGCACATACAAAGTACCATGTGTTCACTTTATTATTATTTTTTATAATCTATAACCAAATCAGGTTGGTCCATCTTATGTCCAAACTCATGGCCTTACCACTGAGTCCTGATATATAGCAAACCGTGCAAAATACCAAATGACAAAAAAAAAAAATCTCTAAAAAGTGAATGGGAAAAAAAAAAAAGTGAATGGGAGGAGTTTTTGCTTCAAAAGCTGATCAGTCATAAGCAGAAAAAATATATAAATATAATTAAAGTTCAATCATATAAGTCAACTTCTAGGCTAGAGGTTCTTCCCATAAAAAAAAATTATACCCAAATTGCTTCTGTATATTGCACAAGCCCTGAAATGATATTTCTAACACTCTCTGCAATGTACCTAAACTTTTATCTCAGGGCCTGAGTGATTAAAAAGTAACTAGGAGGCTGTGCATATGTGCTCAGTCACTCAGTTGTATCCGACTTTGTGATTCCATGGACTATAGTGGGGCCAAGCTCCTCTGCCATGGAATTTTCCAGGCAAGAGAAAATTTCAAGGCAATTTTCTCCTACTGAAGACGGTTGCCATTTCCTCCTCCAGGGGACCTTCCCAACCCAGGGATCAAACGGACATCTCCTGAACTGGCATCTCCTGTGTCTCATGCATCAGTAGGCGGACTCCTGGGAAGCCCTAGGAGGGCATTGTCTGCCTCCAACCATAGCTACTGTATCAGTTTACAGACTGCAGTTCAAATCCACTTAAATGAAGACTGCAGGACAAATTCAAAGGCCCCATGTACCTATACTGAAAATGTAACATTTTTGTTTCTGCAGTTGACATGTCTCAGCTGGGGTCCCCCCAAAAAACAGCCCACTCAAGTAGGGTAAGTTGTGAAGGTTTAATAAAGACATAAAGATGTGGTCAGGATGTAAAGAAATCACAAGAGACAGTACAGCCCCTCAGAACTGTGACCACTCCCACGGCCCAAGAGGAAGGGAGTCTCGGAAGCCAGAAAAAGAAGGTCCGTAGGAGGACCACCTTGAGACAGACTGTGACCTCTGATCATGGAGACCCAGCAGGGAGAGCCCGGGAAATAAATACCCTCTGGTTACCCTGCCTCTCCTCCAGCTTCTGGCCTGTGCTCCCCACTGGCCAAACCTAAGGGAAGTCTGCAGACCGGGGAACCTGCTGACTTAATGCATACGAGTCCGCTTCTCATCCCTCAGGGAGTAGGATGGGATGCAGAGACAGAGGAGCAAACAGTGGGGGTCAGAGGAAAACACCCAGGCAAGGCGTACTTGCGTAAGGACATGCTAGAACATCAGTAAAAGCTTTCTGCCAGGGGTGAGAGCCTATGTTGATTATCATCTAAGAGGCCGGGGAGTACTGACTCAGGGAAAATTCAAGCAACCTAAGTGCTGGTGCTATTCAGGGCAGGCATGTGGCCAAGAAACCTCATCTCTAGATCTCAGGGTCCCCGCTGAACAGGGCGGCCGCTGAAAGTGCCCTCCAGCTCTCACTCGCCGTGACTTCCTGAAACAGGCATTATGTACAACCTCCTGCGTGAACCTGACTTACGTTTAATGCCCAGGGAGTCTAGCTGCCCTAGTGAGAGGCACAGGCAGAAGTGGGTCTGTGTATCTTATCTCATCTAGGGATGACCAGGCTCATCAGGTACAAGGGATCGCCAAGGGCTTTCTCTTCACTGTAGGTCCATCAGCTCACAACCCCAATGCCTCCCTTATCTCACACCCTCCAATCAACCAGCTCCTCCCACCCAGGCCTCCAAAAGCCACCCTCTTACCAGCCGCACTCCCGTTCCCTGATGGCACGAAAGAGAGGAGCACGTCTCGCAGGCCGTCTCCATTTACATCCGCCAGGTCCAACGGCGACAGGTCCCCGCCTGATGGATACAAGAGACTCAAAGCCCTCAGCAAGTGACACAGACCAGCTCCCTGCTCCAGGCTGGACAGGGAACGCTCCATAAAAACCAGGCAGATCTCAGCTCCTAGATGAGACACACGGACCCCGTTCTGCCTCTGCCTCTCGCTAAGGACAGCTAGAATCCCTGGGCATTAAACGTAAGTCAAACATGAGAAGAATCTGGAAGATGGAGAGAAGGCAGATCAGCTGGGGATGGTAAGCCCTGAGAAAGGACAATCTGGGGGTTCCCCTGGGTTTTCTTTGACCTCACATATCCCAGACAGGGTGCTGCAGAAGCTGGCACCCCAGAAATGCCAACAGGGACACACAGGAAGGTCCCAGAAAAGCTGATCTCCGGCCAAAGGATAGGAAAGGCGCAGCCCAGCAAGACAGAGAAGTTTTCAACAATAACCATTCTACTCCAGGCAAAAACCACAGATAAAACTGTGGCACCACCCAGCCCCACGGGACAGGCCAAGTGGAAACCCTTCCGGGGTAACAAGGCCGCTCTCGCCCCAGGGTCATGTCAGAGAAGTCGGGTGAGGAGGCTGGACTCTCATCCCCGCCCAGCAGCACTCAGGCCTCCACACAAGTGAAGCCTGGAGTCCTACCTCCACCAAGCATTCACGGGGCGCCCCCCCCCACCTCTCCTGGTGTCCTCAGAGGCCTGGACTTCCTCCTCCACCGAGCAGGGACAAGGTAGGCAGCATCACCCCTCCACACACACACACACACACACACACACACACACACACAGTGTGCAGTCAGAGGATGACTGTCAAATTCAGAGAGAATTCACACAAGGCTGGTGGAATTCACACATAAACTGGTACAACCACTATGGAAAATGACTTAATATAAACTCCTAGATATGTGGGCTTCCTGGGTGGCTCCGCGGTAAAGAATCTGCCTGCAAAGCAGGAGACACAGATTTGATCCCTGGGTCAGGAAGATCCCCTGGAAAAGGGAATGGCTACCCACTCCAGTATTCTCTTTTTTTTTTTCCCACTCCAGTATTCTTGCCTGGAGAACCCCATGGACAGAGGAGTCTGGCGGGCTACAGTCCATGGGGTCGCAAAAGAGTCTGACACAACTGAAGCAACTTAGCATGCACGCATGCCTAGACATACAACACACCCTGTCAACCAGTAATTCCACTCGCAGGTTTATGCTCAAGGAAAATTCTAACACACTCCACCAGGAAACACATTCAAGAATCTCCTTAGTGGTGTTGCTGTTGCTGCTGCGGCTCAGTTGCTAAGTTGTGTCCAACCTCTTTTGCGACCCCATGGACTGTAGCCCACCAGACTCCTCTGTCCATGGGATTTCCCAGGCAAGAATACCGGAGTGGGTTGCCAGTTCCTTCTCCAGGGTAGTGGTATTAATTTTTTTTTTTTTGGTATTACTTACTTTTAAAAAATAGAAGCCACCTAAATGCTCACCAACAGTAAAACAAATTGCTAAATCACAAGATATTCACACCATGGAAAATTAGTGGTGAAAATAAAGAAATTCCAGTGACTGTACATTGATAACAGATAACCCTCAAACATTTTCTTTAAATATGCTGAACAAAAAAGCAAGTCACAGAAGATCACATGATTATATTTATATGACATTCAAAAACAGGCAAAATTGAAGGATGGATCATTTAGGGATACAAATCTATGTGGCAAAACTTTAAACACAAGTAAAGGAATACCGACAGGAAACTCAGGACAGTGGAACCCTCTGGTGGATAGAGGGGGATAAGGTGAGGAGGTGAAGGACACATGGGGAATTATAAGGTCTATGTACACAGATTTTTCTCAGCCTCAACCTCAGGTGATAAGATTGTTCACCTGGGAGTTTCATCTCCTGCTTTTAGGAAGGCTGGAAGGTCAGTGGCCCTCTTGCACCTGCTGTTGTTCAAACGCCTTCAATGCACAACAGTCAATCCGCCAAAGTGCTATAGTGAGGCCTGTGTGTTCTGAGCCCCTTCTGCCTGGTACAGTTTACAAGAGACAGGCCCACCCAACACTAACAGTTAGATGGGACCCCCAGTCTTGACTCAGAGTAAGTTGTGTTACAGAAACCTGCTCTACCCCCTAAGTGTCCATCGACAGGAATGGATAAAGTTAAGATGTGGTACACTGCTATATTCAAAGTGCATAGCCAACAAGGACCTTTGTACAGCACACGGAACTCTACTCAAATTATGTGGCAGCCTGGATGGAAGGAGGGTGTGGGACAGAATGGATACATCTATAGGTATGGCTGAGTCCCTTGGCTGTTCACCTGAAACTATTACAACATTGTTAATCAATTATATATCCTGATACATAATGAAAAGTTTAAAAAGAAAAGATATATATACCCTGTATACAAATATGCATACATATATACAATGGAATACTACTCAGCCATTAAAAAAATGAAATTTGCTATTTGCAGCAACATGGATGGACTTGGAGGGTATTATGCTAAATGAAATAAGGCAGACAAAAGACAAACACTGTACAGTATCACTTATATGTAGACTCTCAAAAATACAACAAAACAGTGACTCTAACAAAAAAGAAGCGGACTCACAGCTACAGGGAACAAACTAATGGTCACCAGTGGTTAAGAGGAAACAAAGGCAGAGCAACATAGAGGATTTTTTAAAATGAGGTTATTATGGGATTATAGGAAACTACAGGTGAGAAACCTCTAAAAACTGTAAAGCACTGTAAAATTTAAAGAATCTTTCTTTCAATAAAAAATATAATAAAAATAAAAAGTAAACAAACCTGCTCCAAAATGAATCAAAATAGCCAGAATTACTTGGGTAGCACCATTTTAACCATTAAGAGCAGGTGAAAAAAACTACTGCAAGAAAGCATCGCTCTTTTTCTTGAAAAGAAATTATTTCATAAACAACAATGTCCTACTGGAGAGCACCGAGAACTATATTCAATGTCCCATGATAGCCCATAGTGGAAAGAATCTGAAAAAGAAGCTATAGACATGGAGACATAACTGAATCACTTTGCCGTACAGCAGGAACTAATACAACACTGTAGATCAACTACGAAAGTGAAACTGTTCTTCCTTTTGTCATGCCCAACTCTTTGTGACCCCATGAACTGTAGCCCACCAGGCTCCTCCGTCCATGGGATTCTCCAGGCAAGAATACTGCAGTGCGCTGCCATTTCCTCCTCCAGGGGATCTTCCCCACCCAGGGATTGAACCCAGGTGTCCTGCACTGCAAGCAGATTCTTTACCCTCTGAGCCACCAGGGAAGCCCCCCAAATCAACTATATTTCAATAAAAAATAAATTTTTAAGAAGTATTCGAAAATTCAATTTAGACCGGGCTTCCACAGCTAGCGAACACCCAAGTGCCCTACAGGAGCCCTAGATGGACTCTGGCCTGGCCGGGATGGGAGCTTCACTTTCTCTGTGAATCCTCCTTCCCCCAGCTCTGCCCTCCCCTGATCCAGCCTCAGCTGCACATCTGGAGCCCAGCAAACCAGGCCTCTCTCCTCTCTGCCTCCCATTAAGACTTCCCCAGGACAAACACAGCCAGCCATCCTCCCAAGATTTTGGAACCGTACCAACAGGGGAAATGGTAGGCGACACATGCTAGCATGTGAAGACTTGCAGGAAATTTTCAGTGTCGTCAGGCGCTTTCCAGAACGACACGCGATGGAGGAGTCTTACAGCCTGCATCCCCCCGGCCGCTCACCTCCCTGGGGACCCAGACGGCGGCTCCACGTGCTGTGCAGGTCTCGGGGGGGACAGGGGATCAGGAAAGCACACACGAGCACCAGGACCATAGAGACCACCAGCATCAACAAGAAGACGGATGTGCGCACGTAGGACACGACCGAGGAGGCCGCCTTCTGCTCCAGGGCCCCCAGGGGCTCCAAGGGGTACCCCTCGGGGGCGACCTCGGAGAGGCGTGGCTTCCCGGCCCCTGCGACCTCAGCATCCGAGTCGGGCTCCGGGGCCTCCCCCAGCGGGCTCTTCCCATTCTTGACTCCCCCGTTCTTCTGCTGCAGGTTAAGCACCAGATCATCTTCACTCTCGTCGCTGTCGGCCTGTGTGAGGGGGTCATACTCCCCCAGGTCCGGGCTTTTCTTCCCTAAAAGACAGAAAGCCAGACGGTCAAGGGGGACTTGCAAGGAAAAACCCTCAGTCAACATGTGGAAACTGGAAACACCTAGGAGAACACACAGTACAGAACAGGTCATAGATGGACTGGAGCCATCTATGAAAACAGATGCCAGTGAAAAGGGGGAAAGGTTGGGGGAGAGAAAGAGAGGAAATCACAGTGTTCTAGAACAGGGGACCCCAACAGGGAACTGGGTCACACAGCAGGAGGTAACAGGCAGGTGAGCAAGTAAAGCTCCACCTGTATTTACAGCCATTCCCCATCACTCGGCTTCCCCCGTGGCTCAGCTGGTAAAGAACCCGCCTGTCTTTTCTCCATGGTATATCCTTGCCTCCTTTGTCGAAGATAAGGTGACCATAGGTTCGTGGATTTATCTCTGGGCTTTCTATTCTGTTCCATTGATCTATATTTCTGTCTTTGTGCCAGTACCATACTGTCTTGATGACTGTGGCTTTGTAGTATAGTCTGAAGTCAGGCAGGTTGATTCCTCCAGTTCAAAAACTGGTCAACCACCTGTAAAAGAATGAAACTAGAACACTTTCTAACACCATACACAAAAATAAACTCAAAATGGATTAAAGATCTAAACGTAAGACCAGAAACTATAAAACTCCTAGAGGAGAACATAGGCAAAACGCTCTCCGACATAAATCACAGCAGGATCCTCTATGACCCACATCCCAGAATATTAGAAACAAAAGCAAAAATAAACAAATGGGACCTAATGAAACTTAAAAGCTTTTGCACAACAAAGGAAACTATAAGCAAGGTGAAAAGACAGCCCTCAGATTGGGAGAAAATAATAGCAAACGAAGTAACAGACAAAGGATTAATCTCAAAAATATACAAGCAACTCCTCCAGCTCAACTCCAGAAAAATAAATGACCCAATCAAAAAATGGGCCAAAGAACTAAACAGACATTTCTCCAAAGAAGACATACAGATGGCTAACAAACACATGAAAAGATGCTCAACATCACTCATTATCAGAGAAATGCAAATCAAAACCACAGTGAGGTACCATTACACGCCAGTCAGGATGGCTGCTATCCAAAAGTCTACAAGCAATAAATGCTGGAGAGGGTGTGGAGAAAAGGGAACCCTCTTACACTGTTGGTGGGGATGCAAACTAGTACAGCCGCTATGGAGAACAGTGTGGAGATTTCTTAAAAAACTGAAAACAGAACTGCCATATGACCCAGCAATCCCACTTCTGGGCATACACACCGAGGAAACCAGATCTGAAAGAGACACGTGCACCCCAATGTTCATCGCAGCACTGTTTATAATAGCCAGGACATGGAAGCAACCTAGATGCCCATCAGCAGACGAATGGATAAGGAAGCTGTGGTACATATACACCATGGAATATTACTCAGCCATTAAAAAGAATTCATTTGAATCAGTTCTAATGAGATGGATGAAACTGGAGCCCATTATACAGAGTGAAGTAAGCCAGAAAGATAAAGACCATTACAGTATACTAACACATATATATGGAATTTAGAAAGATGGTAACGGTAACCCTATATGCAAAACAGAAAAAGAGACACAGATGTATAGAACAGACTCTTGGACTCTGTGGGAGAAGGCGAGGGTGGGATGTTTCAAGAGAACAGCATCGAAACATGTACATTATCTAGGGTGAAACAGATCACCAGCCCAGGTTGGGTACATGAGACAAGTGCTCGGGCCTGGTGCACTGGGAAGACCCAGAGGGATCGGGTGGAGAGGGAGGTGGGAGGGGGGATCGGGATGGGGAATACATGTAAATCCATGGTTAATTCATGTCAATGTATGCCAAAAACCACTACAATATTGTAAAGTAATTAGCCTCCAACTAATAAAAAAAAAAAAAAAAAGAACCCGCCTGTCAATGCAAGAAATGTAGGTTCAATCCCTGGGTTACAAAGATCCCATGGAGAAGGGAATGGCAACCCGCTCTAGTACTCTTGCTTGGGAAATCCCATGGACAGAGGAGCCTGGCAGGCTATAGTCCATAGGGTTGCAAAGAGTCAGACATGACTGAGCGCTCAAGCACGCATGCACGCACATACACACTCCATCACTCACATCACTGTCTGAGCTCTGCCTTCTGTCAAAACAGTGGCGGCATTCGATTCTCATAAAAGCGTGAACCCTACTGTAAACAGCCCGTGAGAGGGATCTAGTATGCCACCAAACCAGTCCCTGGTGCCAAAAAGGTTGGGCGTTGCTGTTCGAGAATTATCACTTTCATGAGTTTAAGAACATTTGAAAAGAAACAGGAAATAGCTAACTTCAAATATTAGGTTTTTTCTTTTAAGTTCTGTTAGTTTGTGTGATTCTCAGTAACGAAAAGACCATGGCTCTTCCACGGGCCTTGCATACACCTACTGTGTATATTTCCTTTGATTTTCTTAGAGTGGTGATGTTCCAATCTGTCCCATGACTCCTCTAAACTTTTAGAACCATTGTTCTCTGCACACCACTCCTCACATGCCAGTATGTGTGACCTCCCAGTTGCTTTTGGGCTTCGCAGGTGTCACTAGTGCTAGAGAACCCTCCTGCCAATGCAGGAGACATAAGAGACTTGGGTTAACCCCTGAACTGGGAAGATCCCCTCTAGGAGGAAATGACAACCCACTCCAGTATTCTTGCCTAGAGAAGTCCATGGACAGAGGAGCCTGGTGGGCTACAGTCCATGGGGTCCCAAAGAGTCAGACACAAGTGAAGCGACTTAGCAAACAACTGTTTCTACGGAAACCATGAAGAAAGTCAAATGCTGAAAGTCACCTGGAGACATCCTACCAAAAACTTAGCTTTGAGAACCTTCCTGAGAGTCTAACACCCTTTCAGTACATGTTTCAGTAAACAGTGGTTACCTGAAAATTGCTATTCTGATCCTGCAACCTGGGAGTGGTGGAATCTAGCAGGCATGTGGAGACGGAGGAATTGTCTTGACACTGGTTTATACAATAAGCACTGCAGTTTTATTTAGACCATATCTTTGCTGGGGTGGCAGGAGGTGGACATTTACGGGGGTGAAGGGAAACCTTCCTCCTCCCAAGCCACCCCTGGCCCTAAGTGCCAGCAACTGGAGGAGTTTATGCCTTTATTTCAGGCTTATTATGGTTGTTTAGTCACTAAGTCATGTCCAGTTCTTTTGTGACCCTAGGGACTGTAGCCCACCAGGCTCCTCTGTCCATGGAATTTCCAAAGCAAGAATACTGGAGTGGGTTGCCATTTCCTTCTTCAAGGGATCTTCCCAGCCCAGGAATCGAAACTGTGTCTCCTGCATTGCGTCTCCTGCATTGACAGGCAGATTCTTTACCAATGAGCCACTGTTATGAGGATTAAATAACACACACATGGTTCTGGGTGCTGACTTAAGAGTCACACTCAGTAAATTTCAGCGTCTGTTATCACTGTTGGTATTCTATCTCTCCTCTGCCCTCACCCCGTCTCCTCATCCCCAGGTTAAATATCTCTACCTTTTCAACCCATTACTTGAAGAAGCATTATTTCATGTGTCCATGACACCTTGATCCCTCTCCTCTGGACACAATATGTCCCCAGACCTGAATACGGTCCCAGAGGTGCGATCCGACCAGAGGAGGGCAGAGGGGCCACTACAGTTCAAAACCTGTAACTAGGCTCACACCAGTCCATCCTAAAGGAAATCCACCCTAAGTATTCATTGGAAAGACTGATGCTGAGGCTGAAGCTCCAATACTTAGGCCACCTGATGCAAAAAGCTGACTCATGGGAAAAGACCCTGATGCTGGGAAAGACTGAAGGCAGGAGAATAAGGGGGCGACAGAGGATGAGATGGTTAGATGGCATCACTGACTCAATGGACATGAATCTGAGCAAACTCCAGACATAGTGGAGAACAGGGAAGCCTCACATGCTGTAGTCCATGGGGTCACGAAGAATCACGACTTAGCGACTAAACAGCAACCACCACCACCTAGGATCGGGTCAGCTTTCTTGGTCATCCCATCACACAACTGATTCAACTAAAACTCCAAAGCACTTTCTACATATGCTCAAGCCGTCCTACAATTACATGATTTTTAGCATCAAGTGAAAAATTCAGCATGGACACTAACCGAATTCCATCTTCCTAGTCAGTTTCCAGCCCGCAACAAACACAGCCTAAAACAGCACCTCTGCCAAAGTGAAATTATGACTGCAATACTAGTGAACAAAACAGTTTAAAGGAAATCCATTTTCATTTTATGATATACTATCACAGGGAGGAAGAGAACTTTGACTGCAAATGCTGCAGAGACCTGCAAATTCTTTAATAAACCTATAAAAATAAATTACAAGCATTCTTTGAAAATCAAAGCCTCTGTCAAACTGGTCCCTCTAAAAAGATTATGTGCTGCTAGTTAATGATGGCAAAGGATGGCCTTTCTGTCAGTCTCTCCCTAAAACCAGAGGGGAAGAAAAAGAAACAAAAATAGAAAAAGAATAAAAAAGGAAACAGCCACATCCCCAAACTGTAATTTATGAAAAGTCATTGCCAAAGGCAGTGAAACTTGCATCCAACTGAGGAAGTATAGTAAGAACAGGGACACACATCTCAGGTCTCCAGCAAGGAGCCGAGTTCATGAAATTAATAACAGTGATGACGTGGATGACCAATGGAAATGTACTAAGAGCTACTACGCCAGGCCCTGGTCCATGCGCTTACTGGGGTTAACACATTTAATCCTCACAACCACCCCAGGAGGTAGGTGCCATTATCATCCCCATTTTATCAACAAGAATATTAAAATATAAAGATGTCAGCTGCCTAAGATCACAGACTTAACAAGAAAAGCCAAGATTCAACCTCAGGCAATTTGATTAGAATCCACGGCTCTAAACAACCCTTTGCGCTGCCTCCCTTGTTCCCCAGATATAAAGCCAAACCAAAGAATCTTTTGCTCAGGAAGACAAACCTTGGGGGTCCTAGAAGCACAAATGAGCCTCATTCA